CTCTTCTTTGCCTTGTTTGCATCTTCTTTTTGAAGTGGCTCGGGCCTGGAAGACCAGGGCCTTCCCCTTCCCTTTCCACCTTTCCTTCCTTCTCTTTACCTTTACTTTCCTTTCCTTTACCTCCTTCCCCCTTCTTAGATTCTCCCTTCCCTTCTGCTTCTTTCCCCCTGCCTTCCTCCTTCCCCCTTTCCCCACCCTTTCTCCTTTCCCTTCCCTTCTCTTCATCTTCTTTGCATTTTTTTGTTTCTTCTATTTGAAGTGACTCGGGCCTGGAAGACCAGGGCCTTCCCCTTCCCTTTCCACCTTTCCTTCCTTCTCTTCACCTTTACTTTCCTTTCCTTTACCTCCTTCCCCCTTCTTAGATTCTCCCTTCCCTTCTGCTTCTTTCCCCCTGCCTTCCTCCTTCCACCTTTCCCCACCCTTTCTCCTTTCCCTTCCCTTCTCTTCTTCTTTGCCTTTTTTTGCATCTTCTATTTGAAGTGGCTCGGGGTTTGGCCTCTCTTGGTTTTCACCACAACGTTCTGCCCGGATTTTTTTTCCACCTGGCCTGTTGTGTTTGAAACCCTCCCGGCGGCAAATTTCCAAACCTCAAATAGAAGATTGGCGCAAGCAATTTCTTCTATAATAGATTCCCGTACTATAATGAGGAAATCGTTGCGCGAATTGCCTTCGGGAACCTTTTGCTTCATTTTTCCCTTGAGGCTTGGAATGCCGAGAGGAAACTCACTCGACCTGACCGCGGGTGTGACAGAAATGGAGAAGCTAGAGCAAATCGGAGCTGCTCCGCATACCTTAACGGCTTTTAGCAAAATGGGTTCTATGATGACATTCCGGGCCAACAGATCCTCGCCAGCAGATCTGTTCCACTCAAAGGTCAGAACCCAAGGTGCACCGAGCTTGATCATTGCTCTTATACCTTCTTGGAAAAAAACTTGTCTTTTCGGCGGAGCTCTGAGTAGCTCCAAAGCGCGATGCGGCAGACCGGAGATGGTCGCTGCACTTTCGGCACTTTCCTCAGCACAAGTCTGTACCTTAGGGACACTACGAGGAGATGATACGAGCTTTTTGGCCCTTGTCTGTCTGAATGCCTTAGTACGAACAGCCCGGCCAGAAGCCAGAGAAACAGTGCTCTTCTTTCCTAAGAGGGCAAAGTCCTCAGGCTCTGGGGCCAGCTTAGCACCTGCGCATGCATCTTCCCACCAACTGGGATAGTCGAGATCTGGCGGCGCTGGCTCGGCATCTCGAGTCGGGCCATCTGCTCTGTTGACCAGCTCACGATTCAAGGCGGAGGACGAGGCCCTCCCCTTAACCAAACATCCTAGCGAAACTTGGGAGTCTAAAGCATACAGCACTCGGCGGCTTGACATGTTTGCTGCAATGCGCTTTTCTTCGAGCAAATGGGCTCTGAGCTCAGTTATATTTATGTGGGTGGACCGGGGAATGTGTCTTCTCCACCTCTCAGAAAAAGTCAAGGCTCTTAGCCAACACCACCCAAAGCGGATGAGCATCAAACACTTGGTCGGGGTCTGGAAGCTCATCGGATCGGTCCAAACGGCCGTTGGCTCTAAGCCAAGCTTCATGAGGCGGCAACAAACGACTCCAAGCTCCCTTCTTCAAGGATCTCCGGCTGCTCTCACCAACCAACTCCGCAGCTAGCGGAGCCCTCACAGCAGCCATCCAATCATTCGAAGAATCAGTGGCAGTAAGGAAGCTCACTGGTTGAGCTCTCAAGTTGGCAAAAGCAAGACTCCTAAAACGCAAACAGTCCAAAGCTCGTCAATCAATTCACTAGAGAGTCGAATGACTTTGGTTTGGTCGGAAAATGAGAGGGGCTCAAACATGAGGTCCATGACGCACAAAAATCTTCGTCTGATGGAGAACAAGGAAACCCACGAACCGGCTAAGGCTTCAAGCCAACCGACCGAACATAACCCAAGGCTGGCGACTCGAGATGTGATGAAAATGAATGGCCAGAGTCGCAGGGATGAGGGGGCGTACCCTTCTCCCCATCGTGCCATCGAGCTCACAGCCCCAAAATCTGGCTTGCAGACAGTTGCGAAATTCCTTCTTGGGGTTGCGCTCAAGCCGAACAGAGGCGTATCCAGCCAGGGCGTGATCCAGCCTGACGTCGCTGCCGGTGGAGTGGTGCTTACCATTTGCAGCCAAACCTATTTCCCTTGCAACTTTCTCGAGAACCACTAGGTCGTCTATAATGATGCCTATGGACAAAAGGCCACGGGGCATATCAGTTTTCAAGGTGATGAGTTCACCGGGAGCAGCAACACCATGTTGCAAACAAAGGCCCAAATGGCTGGACCGTGCATACTCACAAGCATTGCAATCACCCATGCCTAGTGTTGCCAGGCTGCACCAAGCAGGGTCTTCACTCCATTCAAAATCATCACCAAAAACATATCGAGCTTCCCTGATCGAGATCGGGCTGCAAAGGAAGTTGCGAGCTAATCGCTGTTGAGGAATTTTGAATTGGTAGAAAAAATCTCTTAAATCTTCACCTGACGAAATTAAAACTTGGTCATCCTGCAAGATGATGTCGCTGAGCAATGAGGCTGATGCCATGGCATGCGTCCAATGGTGCAACTTCAGTTCAGCTATGTTCGCAGGACGTGCATCTGAGCCTGTCTTTGTCAATACTTTTACCCACAGAGAACATGCCGGCCCCGAGCCCAGCCCTGGTCTGAGATGCGAGCACTGGTTGCAGGCGACCTGATAGCGCAAGCTTCTTGTACAGGTCTAGCCTCTCGGAGTTAGTGGCTCTAACCCGCACTCGCGGCACAGGCTCGAGAATGCCGTGAACCGGGGTGGCGTGATCTATCGGGCAGTCAAAGATGGTGGCAGTCTTGGGATCCATGAACTCCTGAGGTTCGAAAGCAGGAAGCTACAATGCTCTTGGCTGTGAACTGGTCACGGCCGTCAGTGCTTTCATCATTCATAAGCGATCCACATCTCAATCAGTCTGGATCGAATCATCTATCCTTGAATTTGGCAGGACGAACGGAAAAGTAAGCTGAAACACGATCAGTCAAAAACGCTCCGACGCGGTGAATGGCCCCGAGCTCACGATCGAAAGCTTCAATTTTAGAGGCTGCACGGCCCATGAGCTCTGGGTCGATGTCAGAAGGAGTATTACGATCCCAGCTCAGAAACTCTAGCCTCCCGACCACACACCGCAACTCCTGAGGAACAGTTCTTGGGCAATCGAGAACAAGCCAGTCGAGCACTAACACCTGAAGGCAGACTGCTCTTTTCTGCCACAAGGGTTTGGAGCTTCCTGAAAAGCTTCGGGATAGGGGAGCGGCATAGGCCAAATGCGAGAGCGTGAACTGGAAGTATGGGTACCCAATATATTTGGGCGTGTCGAAGAAGGAACGCAAAAAACCACTCAGGCTGCACGAACTCTTGAGCAACCATCGAGGCAACGAGTTCACAAGGGCACTCACCTTCACGGTCGGTGCATCTGCGCCCGGAACATCGGCAGATTCACCGGCAGGCTGAGGCTGTTCGGACTTTCGACTCACTGATTTTCCTTGGGAAGCTCTTTGCCTTGGCTTTTGCTTTTCTCTTGGGCTCCGGACGTTCGCTGTCGTCGTCTTTGGTCGGATTGGTGAAGGTGCGCTGCAGAGTCTTGCGCCTCTGTAGGTAGTCGTCCGTCTCTCGAAGATGTGCAACTGCCAGCTCTGCTCACCTGGGATCCAACAACTTGGAGTATGGTAGATCTCCTTGCGTGGGATTTGGAGCTGTGCCGAGCCAGAGTCGCAAGAGGCGGCGGGGGTTCGAGAGCAAGCTCGGCTGCTAGATGCCATGAGCCTTTGTCGATGGAGGCTTGGTCCAGTTGCAGCACCAGCAGTCCCAATCTGGCTCGGGCTTCTGCGACTTGACCGCGAAGGAGAGCATCGAGAGCTCCCGCTGCTCCCCACGCCGCATGCGCTGATGTCTTGTAGTTCGATATCTTGGACCGGTGCTCGACCCAAGCTCTGGAGCACAGGGCAGGCGTCGGCATCAGTGGGGTCACAGTCGACCCCAGCAGATCTTCCAGCATCCTCTTTTCCACAATCGCATGTATTTCCTCGGGAGAGTCCACTAGTGCTTTGTGGAGGGCCCAGCGGGCTGCAGCCATCCTCTTTCCTCCTCCAGACCCCGCAGACTCGTTGGAACCTCCTCCATGCATAGCATCCAGAGTCGCTTCCAAGGAGGCTGCTCTCTTTCATCTCTTGTCTGCCGTGAGGTTCTCGACAATCTCAGCCGAACGAGTGATTGGGAGATCGGGTCCGTGGGGGAACCAGAGGGCTGCACTGATCCAACAGCGTCGGCCGTTGAAGGCTCTGGAGAGCACGTTGAGCTTCTTGGGTTTGAGGGGCTCGGAGAGGCGGTTGGTCTGCACCTTTGAGTGCCAGCGAAATGCCAAAAGAGCCTCAGCTAGAGGATACACCATTCCCACCAAAATCCCGAGAAGCAGTCCAGCTCCCACTCAGGAGGGATGCAGTCAAGCGGAGGTGGTGGCCAGCTGGGGTCCAATGCCGAGAGCGCTATGGCAAGCGCGCCGCCGTTCCCAAGCGCCCGAAACATGCAAGCAAGCTTGATCCGGAGAGCGATCAAAAAACATGTGGGGTATATATACGTATGAGAAAACTGCGAGCGTTTTTAGCCATGGCAGCCACGGCAGGAAGCAACGAGCGAAACACTCTCAGGTGATGGCACAGTCAACCTTCTATCGACAAAGAACTCTTGAGAAACTCTCGGCGGTGGGTGTACAGTACTTCAATTCTGACACTGACTTGGCTGGGTTTGCATTACAAGGGCGCCAATGTGCAAAAACGGGCGTAAAGCAAGCCAACCATGCCGGAAATCTACATAGAATACCTACCCGACCCCAGAAAAAGATCTATGGGTCTCTGATCTCTGAAAAAGGGACATGCAAAAGAAACCACCAAGCACGGTCAACAGCAAACAACAACAGCTGCACTAAATTCATCTCTGAGCACCGGTCGCGCCGATGCAAGCGCCGATGCAATCGATCCGAGTGTTGCGAGTAGTACTCAGACCCAGGCTCCTCTACCGGATTTTGAAGAGTATGAATTTGCACGAAGTCTTCCACATCACCCTCTGAGAGGTTGCAGCGGGGTCCGCAGGACCATGCTAGAGGCAAAAGGATCGCAAGAAGTTGTGCTACGCTCACTTTCAGCCACATGGCTACCGCACGGGCAGCAGGCTGCAAAAAAAAGGATCATGACCACCCTCTGACTTTGCACGTAGCAGTACTTGCATGGGCGGTCGGTACCGCGAGTGTCCTTTGGCCGACCTGAGCCCGGACCCGACGAGCCCGGACGCGCGAGCAGAATCGAAGGTCCAGTGGACCCGTGGGATCTGTCCCGGTGCCTCGGCGCTGAGGTCCGCCGCCTGGGAGCCGAGGGCCGACTGGTTGGGACTTCGAAAGCAACTGTGAGAGGTTTGAACTTTGGACTGATATAATGACTTAGGTCCACTTGAAGATCTTAAAGAGGCGGATCCTATTCCGCACATCTGTCCATCCACCACAGTAATGGAAAAAAAAAGCTGTCTGTATCGGTCTGCATATTCAAAAGCCACCAAACAACATCAGCAGTTCTTGCAGTTCTTGTGTATCCTTGTGTTCTCTGCCCTGTTTGAGTCGCCAAGCCGGCATCTAGCAACTGCTCGCCGCGAACCTGCAGTTGGGTTCTTCTGCCTCGCAGGGGGTGTGGAGCGATGATGAGCGGGCTGGGCCCAACAAAACAGCTTGGGTTCATTTGTTGAGCCATTTCTGCTTTCACTACATAAAGGCTTTAAGAAAAATACTTTAAGGAACCTAACAACGATGGCCTCCAACCTAAGAGTGATGGCCTCCAACACACCTACATCCACTCCTACATCTTCCTCACTCGCGGAATCTAAGCTTTTTGCACGTGCTGCATTTGCACTGTGAGCCAGCCCGGTCGCATCCCTTCGGGATCACGGGCCATGCTACCGCCGAAGAAGTGCGGCCATGCCGGAAAATCGGCGGGAGTGACTTTGGAGCATGAAAAGAGGAGAAGTTCAGAAGGATAAGTTCAGTTTGCTGGAGCTTTGCCGCGTACTGAAGTTCTCTGTAAGGATACACTTGAATGGATAGAGATCCAGTTGTTTACTCGAGCGTCGGTCCCCTGGATAAAAGATGATAAAAGCACTAATATACCTAATTAGAGTTGTTCAACCAGAAAGCTTCACAACTTCGCCTCGTTCAGAAGAGTTCATCGAATGTATTTACAAATATTTACAGAACTCCACAGAGGATGTCATTCCAAGTTGCCCAAGCTGCTCAAATAAATGCCCTGTTGAGGTCCTCGATCGCTCATCCAAATCACAAACCTCGGAATAGGTGCGCGCGACCGTGCCATCTGGTGCGGTGGAATGGATGGGAATGGATTCTTGGAACAAGACGCTACTAGGGGCTCCCGGCATCGCTACAAGCATTCTTACTACTAGGGTTTAGGGTTTTAGGGTTCTGGCATCGCTACTAGTAAGAATGGAACAGATTCTTATCGTCCCCCCAGGAATCACCGCCGGCGGGTCGCAAGCTCCTGTGACCGTCAGGTAGGATGTGACCTCCTGACACTCACCAGATCTCAAGCCTGGCACAGCGACCCAAAGCCTTCGGGATCCAAGAACCTTCTCAGAAGATACTTGGACCCTCCAAACCTACATAACAGTGTATCAAGTGTATCACCTTCTGAGAAGGTATGACTGGATCCCTAGGGAAAGGGTCAACAGCTTCCTACATCAATGTGGACTTTCCGGGACTCCTGCGTCTGACTTGAGACAATTGACACCGAATTATTCGGCACCACTTTTAGATGTTGCGGAATGTTCCAAAGCCCTGACCTCACACTATAATACATCCAGATCCAGCACCCAACCTTTCCAGCAAAACCACTGAAGCTGGCTCCTGTGTCAAGAATAGCTTGGTTCGGCCACTATAGATTCCAACCTCCCATGTTTGGCCCAGTGGTGCAGTTGGAGCCTCGAAAAAAGGTCACCACCCACCAAATCTGGAGGTGAGGAAACTCACAGATGAGCCAAACTGGACCTCCAAAACAGCTCCACCTCCAGCCCGACCTTGGCCGAGCGCGGTGTGTGCGCCAGGTCCACCGTGCCGCCAGAAGACTCCTCGAAGTCCACCGTGCCACTGGCGTCCAGGTCGATCTCGCGCCAATAGCGCTCCAAACGGCTGGAGGGCACGTCGCTGGGGTCCGTGACCTTTAAAATGCTACCTGGGGAGATCGATCGTGCGAGATCGTGCAAGTCAGGAACGAAGGAAGATCCAGGGCAATTGAAGGGGCGTCTATTGATAGCACCTGAGAGGTTGGTGTCGGACAACCATCCCATGTGGGTTCTGGGCGACATGTCGTGCTTGGGCGGTGGATGATAAACACCTGCAGCCTCTGGCGCTGTTCTGAAATCCGCGAGAGTCGATGTTGGAGCTACTTTGGCATTGACTAGGGTTTGACATGGTTTGTTTGAGGATGTCACAGGACAATATCAAAGCATTGACATGGACATGGATGTAAGATCGCACTATTGACATGCACGGAATCTTTAGTGACTCTTATGTAGTGTGTGTGGATATTTGTTGTAATATGTTGTAATTCCATTTGCAGCCATTGTTTGGCTTGTTAGCAAATCAACTTTACAAATTGAGGGGTCGTGAAAGCTGACATGATAATGTCAAATTCACACAAAGGAACGCAGTCTTCAGTGCGATCTATTCTTCGTGAGGTTTTGGCAGGGTCGGTACTGGAATGGACCTGGCAGGAGCATTGTGTTTCTTCTTCATGGTCGGCAACCGTACTCGGTTTTGTTCGCCGGTGGCCCTCGTGGCCGGGGACGGCCGGGGCTGGCCCAAGAACCCCTGGGCAGATTCCAGGGCCTTGCCGGCCAGGTGCGAATCACGTGCCCAAAGCGGTCTTGCGTGATAACCCGGTCGGTCTGGCTGCTGTGGCGGTCGAAGACACGCCGGAGCCGCTCCACGTCCAACAGGTGGATCCTCGGCAGGTCCAAGATGCCGTGCGTGAAGCGAATCCGGATTTGGCCCAGTCCGGTGCGCGGAACAAAAGGAAGATCATGGAAGAACTACGTGTACAAGGACATGAGGGATGGATGGATATGGATGGATATATATATAGATGACGAAGAAGTTGTTATGACTCCCTTTCAAGGACATAGGACCGATTGAGAGATATGATATGAGACATTATATGGTATCATATGATGGGCCATGGGACCTCAAGGCACCCGGAGATCCCGGCGAATGAACCAGAAATTGGATGCCCCAGGGAGGGTCAAACAATCCCATGGTTTTCAGGGTTCTAGGTTTTGATTAAACGCCAAACATGCGAATCCATTTGGTCGCAGTCCACCTGCGAACATAATTTATAACAACTTGTCTTATCACGCTAACAAACACCGGTTGTGAAACCTCAAGAAAGACTCCGCTTCATCCAACCTACGCTTGTCGATGACGAGATTGGACGATCCCCTCCTGCAAACATGATCAAACATCTGCACCAATTGCACTCCCTGCACTCCTCTATTCTCCCTGCACATCTATTGGAGCCCCCAAATACATCTTCGTTCTCTGACCGGACCTCCTCGGTCCCACACCGAGGCGCCCGTGCTGCCGGGCCAACTTCCGCGCTTCGCGGTCGCGCTCGTCGCGCACCAAGAGCTGCTCCGACCAGCTGGCGCCCTGGGACCAGCGCACGTACTCCTCGAGGTCCAAGGGTTCGAACAGGTCGGACAAATTTGGGGGTCCATTGAACCGTATCCTTCTGCAGATCCCAAAGACTCACATTCTCTCTCACATTCACCGCAAAACACCCCAACAAATTTACCCAGTATACCAACACGTGAACACACGAGACATGACCAGGTTTGTGTGGTCAGCTTTGACGTATCAAAGCGGCTTTGGGTGAAGTCTGGGCTCCGAGATCTCCACGATATACCCTCTTCCAGAGCTTTCATCATCCGTCCGAAACGTTTACTAGTTTACTAAGTCAAATCGTGTCGCTTTCACATGGTGTCAACTCGATTGTAGAGTTTAGAGGTGAAGCATTCCGAGTTGTATATGGGTATTGCATTTCGAGTGTAAACACATTATTCACCTCGAGCATTTGCTGCACACAGATGTCACAGCAAATCCTTGAAGTCGACGACGCGATTGCCATCGGCATCCATCTGGGAGTACTTCAAAGCCAGGTTCCTGGGCTGATGGAGTGATGGAGATGAGTGATGATTACCACTCAGCCAGCGGAAATATCACACAGTTCTTCATTTGTTGGGCAGTTCGTAGTCAAAGAGATTCAAATAGACTCGACTATACACAAGGCATGACTCGAGGAGTGACTTTTCCACCTATCATGTGCGACAAACAAGACATAACCAAGTAGTAGATGGCCTCTAAATTTACACCTCACGTGACTCACCTGTTGTTGTTCTTCACATTGAGTACCACACCATACAACAAACATACCACCCCTCAGGAGACTTTGCTTAAAGAAATGGCACACCTCTGTATCCATCACCTGGCAACCTGCGCCACGAGTTTGGATCGTGTCTAATGTTCTTTCTGGGGCCCATCTCCCCCCCGAAACAAGAACATACCAAAACGCTCCCAAAGCTATCCTTTTTCCATGTGTGTTGAGCCTCTGTGGCAGTGGCTCATCCTCCGTGATCTTGCAGGACTTCCGCACCGCCCGCTCGAACTCGTCGGCGGACAAGGAGAAGCTGCCGTCCAGGTCTAAGGTGCAAAAGTCGTCGAAGCAACTCTTCACCTTCGATGCGCCGGGTTCCCGGGGAATGGTATGGCTGGTGCGTTGGGGGGGCTGGACCAGGTGCTTGTGATTTGGTTGTAGATGGGTGGGTAGATTGGTGGTAGTTCTTCATCCCATGGTCATGTTGGCGACATGCAACCCACGTTAGGGGTGAAGTCGAGAACCTATGAGAATTGTAGGGATTCCAAATTTTGGAAGAGAATCAGATTTTGGAGGTGTTTGAGAGAGATTGAAGGAATCTATAACGAAATCCTCCTAGACAGTTGGAACCACAAATAATGTGTGGTGTGTGTGACGTGTAGAATATAGAATATTAGACTAGTAGAATGGGTACTCTACATTCTATCACCAACAAATGTAGACTCACGACTCGATTGGTGTGCCGATCGACTTCGCGACCTTTTGAATTTGGGTGATGCACCTGGACACGTCGAAGGAAGAAACTGATCACCGTCTTTTTTGTGTGTGGCAAAATCTTCATCAGTCCGTTTTACATATATATTTTAAAACCACAGTATGATTCATGATAGCCTCGAAGCTGTGTCGAAGCCACCGATATGAACTTGAGTGCAATTAATTATAGTAATCTCATTCAAACTCCCAAAACATCCCAAAACCCTCCACACCAACCTGGTCTTCTTCTCCTCGTTGCTTTTCCTGCCCTTGTTTCACCCAATCCATATCATATTGACCCATCCTTGCATCAAAAACGACCGACACACTGAACCCGACACATTGCGTCTTCCCACCTCAGTAATGGGGATGAGCAAGGTCTTCGAGACCTGATTGCAGAGCTGATAGAGCTCCGCGATCGATAAGGGTGCCACACGGTGAGCCTTGGGTGTCTCCTCCGCCACTTCAGGCTCCTCCACCACAGAGGTCTTCTTCAAGATGAATTGCTGCCACTCCAGTGCTGCACTCGATTCCTTGAAGCCACAAGGTGGTCGGAACAACCGTGATGTGGGCACGGAAGAAGGATGAAAACCCCAGTCCCTAGCCACACGGCCTAGTCAGTTCCTACATGTTCCTACATACATGCTGCTTGTTTGGTGCATAGAGAGATACCAACGGTGAGCTCTGAAACATCACCACGTCTCTCTGTCCCTGTGTCGATGGCAAACCCTGTGTCAACCTCCTCACAGATCCCAACACCTCCTTTTCGAAGCGGATGACCGAGCTGATGAGGGCTGCTCGCCATTCCCATTGACGCTCCATCCGAGAATCCGGAAATTCGTATCCCCTCCGCGTCGGGTCTTCGAAAACTGGTCTTCTAGCCAGGCCATCCACCAAACATCACCACACCATGGATGGAGGGTGATCAACTATGGCAAGTGGATGCAAGTGGTTCAGAAACACCCATCACCAGAGAAGCATACCCGTTCTCACCCGCTCGGCTGTTTGCAAGTGTTTGTCTGGCCACTAGCTCTCTGTAGCTGGTTTTTGCACCCGTAAATTCCATGGTCGAGACTCGGCTTCTTCCACCTGACGACGCTTCTCCATGAAGGCTTTGGCCGACTGCGCCAGGGAGGACACTGGTCTGCATGCAGTCTGTTCATGATTGCAAACGGGGGCCTCGAAGGAGATGTCTGGCAAGCGAGGGGTGGGAGGGGAGGCTGAAACCATGTAGAAATGAACGTCCCCCTGTTTGTGGAAGGTTGTCTTCAATGAGTTCATGTTGCACTTCCATGACCGTTCGATAGAGGGTAGCCTGCAGCCCCACAGATCTGACTGAACTTTCATTTTGGCTTTGAATTGAATATAGCTTCTTGTTACTATTAGTAGCGATGGCCTCCAACCTAATAGCGATGGCCTCCACCTAGTGGCTTCTTGCTACTAGTAGCAAAGGTCTTTAATTCCTTTCGCTTTTGTTGAGGCTGTGCACTGACATTGAAGGACCACTTGGTCAAGGAGTTGTTTTTTTTTCAGCCAGTGGTGCGGTGGTGCGTAGAACACCCCAAAAGGGGAACCACTTGTGGATAGTGCGGACACTTAACTTTTCTCTGCCCCTGGTTGAAACTGTCCGAGTGAGAACTTGGTGGCTTGCTAGACATTTCGTCATGATTGATTTTTGGTGTTTCTTTCATGGATGTTTCTTGTTTTTGCTATTTCTTCATCCCAGGCACTTCGGGCTGCAAGTCCTCGTCGCTCATGGTGCCCTCCAGCTCCGGCAACCAGCCCCGGCCGAGTTCCTCCGCGCTGGAGCCTTCGATCTCCGCCGCGCCGCGCCCTGCCTCCGGCGCGTCGTGCAGCGCCCCGTGGGGGGAGCAAGCGGAGCTCGGAGACCAGGAGGACCTGGAGCTGAGGTCCGGCGATGAAATTTGATTAGAGACTTGGGAACATCTTGGAGAGAAGATATAGAGACAGGCCACGCCAGGAGGTCAATTGGTGCCGGCTTCCCACTCCGAAAAGGACATGGAACTTAGCACGTTGTGTGCTTACAAAGGCGGGCAACAGTCTGAAACCAAAGAAATATAGGTGCCTTTCAATTTCTGAGATCATGCAAATAGTCAAACATATAGTCAAACAATCAAGAAAACGACTAGCCTGGAAGAAGGACTCAACTTAGGATCATGGTTCCAAAGCGATGGAGCTCCATTGTCCCAGCTCCTGAGTCTCCTGAGCTGAGCTACTCGTCCATGCTGGCCATCTGCGACCTCCTCGACCGATAGATGTCCGATTGCTCGAGGAGTGTCTCGGCATCGAAGCGCTGGGTCCTCTGACTGCGAGCATCGGGCGGGTGCTGAGTCCATTCACCGGGAGGGTCGCAGGATCGGAGTGAGAAGACCTCGATAAGAACTTCTCAACTGGTTCTTCAGACTGAGAAGAACAACTCTAATGTCAGAAGGATGACTACTTGTGAAACTATAGTGGATGTGTGCCGAGGGACTGACTTCATTGAACATGACGGCATCCCGGCATTACATACTGAACTAAAAGCATACTCAAAATTGGATTTCTCTTGCGAGGCCCTCCTCAGTCCCCGAAATCTAATCAATCAAAACACAAAGTCCTCCCACCTGGAAAGCTCCCTGGCACAACAATTTTCTACATATCATATCCCTATGTATACCAACAGCACGTCATTTCCAACAAAAAAAGGGAGAAAGGTCCTCTTCCCCCTCTCCAGGTCCTTCGCAGTTGCGACTCCAGCAACCGACTCATCGGCCTCGACCGCCCCCGGCACGAGGACGGCCGCTGGACCGGCGGCCGTGGCAGCGACCGCTTGTGGAGCGGCTCGAGCGGCGCGCGCGGTAAGCTCAGGGTGGGCAGCATGTACCGCGGGGCCGCCACGGGGCGCCCGGAAGCCGGGGGGGCGCCCCGGCGTTCGGCGCTCATGGCATGTTGAAGAAAAGAAAGAGGAATCACACAATGCTGGATGATGCTTGATGTTTGTTGCTTCACAAGTTCTCAGTGTTTTACAGCAAGTTGAGCCTATAGGTGGAAAATCACAAGTTGAAGGAATTATGTGCTGTTGATGCAACCCGTTCTGCTGGAGGTTCGGGTTAGTTGTTAATTAAGGGGCCTTCATTGCCCTTTGCCACTTGCCATTAATTCACGTTTCATGATCTCACATGTTCCTGCGTTACTTCCAATCCCACCAGTGAGTCAGACTCAACAAGTCGGGAAATACATATCCAGAGACACAGCAAAACAACAAGAACTCACCAACATCCAACAAACCAATCGATTGGTTCGCGTGCGAGTTTTTCCAATTCTAACGCACATGTTTCTCACTTCGACAACTTCTTTGGAGTGCAGTCGCATTGCTTGGGGGACAGGTGTCATTGAAAGGCCTGGATACGGATGAACCTGCATCACCTTCTGTGACGTTTTACACTTCGAAGGCTGCTTCGGACTTTTGCAAACAATTGTATTTTGGCGACAGGTCTCTTTAGAAAACCTTCATTCATCAACTATATATGTAATGTTTGCCCCCAACATGCACCTTCACTGGATCATGGCCATGTGGTGGGTGCGACAGCAATCCGAATGGTTTCTGATGGGGCCTGGACCAAAGGTCCCCGAAACATGGTCCACCAGCTGCGGCCATCTTCATTTCATCCCCTCAAGCCTCACACTCTGCCTCTGGCGCCGTTGCACCTGGCGCGCAACACCAACAAAGGACGGGAAAGGATGACAAGGTGGGTATAGGTGCCCTGGTTCCTTGGGAAGCAGGGCGCAAACCACAAATCTGAACCAAATGACTTTCCAAATCCACCTCAACGATGTAAATATAAAGTCAACATGAATCAGACCGGTTTCCCTTCCGAAAGGTGCCCGACACCGTGCGCAAACTTCCAACCAACATTGGAAATTCCTAGGCCTCGCAAGCAAAAACAATGTAAAGTAAGCTCTGAAATTCTGAAACAAAAGCAAGGAACTAAAGATTACGCAAATGGAAACCCTCCTAGTGCCTCAGCTAGCTATCCATGCTGGGTTGTGCTGGATGGGCAATCAAACAATTTGGCTCCAATCAATCCAGATAACTGCACCATACCTGTATCAAAAGGCAAACGAGTATTTACCGTCCAGAAGCCCGGTGTCAAAAGATGTCAAAAGCGGGTGCTATCGATTGGACAACCCAATATCTGAGTCGCACTGTTGAACCATGGAACACACGCGGCATCGCGCGGCAATCTTTCCGGATACGCTCATGTGGCCGCAAGGGCCACCCTCAACTACATCAAGTATCTTCAGCGGATTGAGCTCCTCTAGTGGCTGAGGCAGTATCCAGAACAAGTTCTGGTGGCAGGCGATAGCGGTATACAGGTTTGATTTTTTCTGGGTGGTCTAGGTCGTAGTGGAGAAAATACATCGAGTTCCCTTGCAGCATGACATCAGACGGACTCACACCGTCTGAAAGCGCCAGGTCCAGTTGCGTGCTGGTGGTCTCGCCTTCATTCAACACCCAAATGCGTTTACGCGCAAGGTCTGCGACATAGATCTTTCGGCTCTCCGTCACAAACAACCCTGCCAATCTTACCGCACCTTCCTGCTGGAAGTTTCCGACAGTGGTGGGCTGCGGGCTACCAGGACTGAAGCGTAGCACTCGTTTCCCTCGAAGATCACTGAGGTAGACAGTCTCCTCACTCGTGACAAACAATTGACTTGCAATGAAACGTTGATCTTCGGGAAGTTCGCTGCTGTCCAGGACTGGTGTGAGCACTGAGCCATCGACTCGCTGCACCTTCGTCCCATCATTGTCCACAACGTAAAGCACTCCATTTGCCGAGCAGTCCACACGCGTCAAGCCTGGTGTCTGCAACAAAACTTCACCATGGCCATTTGAGAATTTCAGCAATGACCGGCGGTCTCGAGCCTCCATGTTCAAGACAAAGACGTCACCTGATGGTGAAACGGCCACATCAATGGGCGAGTGCAGTTGGTTGTGACCGTTGACTGCGGCCCCCACCCCTGCCACAATCTGACATTCACTCTCACCTGGTCTGCAACGAAGAACCCTCTTGCTTGACAAAACTGCTATGTAGAGGGCACCGTCGTGCCAGCAAAAGCCCAAACCATACACAGGTGGAGTCACTGGCTGGCAAGCACTGTCACCGTCAGCGCCCAAATCCGGGCACCAGTGCTTTAAACAACGTCTTTTTGGCTGGTGTTTCTCCGACGATCCATCGGCTTGACGCTTTCGGTGAAGGCGCAAGGCATCGTTCACTGCCCTGCTGAGACCAGGGCCACTGGCTCCAGCAGATTGGGAGAAACGACTCAAGCGCTTCAGATTTGCCACTGACATAGATGGAAAATCAATGTTCTGCAAAAGCAGCTCCAAGTGACATGCTCTCTCTGCTGTCGACGCGCTGACCCACTTGAAGACGCCTTGAAGGACTGTTTCCTCCCTTGCAACATGAAGGTCATGCCTTTGCAAGTTGCTTCCAAGCTGCCCAACCGTCAAATGAACAAAGTCCTCACTCTCAACACATTGCGCAAAGTCACCCAGGATCTGCTGTTCACATGATTTCGCGAGATTACAACATTCGCTGTGAGTCCAAACGTGGGGCAAAAGCTTCAGTGCGCTTGCGCTGTCCAGCGATGCCTGCCATTCTGCAGCAAGGCAGGCTGTTAGATTCGGCAAACCATAGGAGCTTGCGAGTTTCAGCCTCAAGTTCATCGTCTCCAGGACTACTTGCATGGACTAAAGTTGACCCATTGCTTTTCAATCAACAAAAACACGTCTTTTTGACTCGCCCAAGGAGCAGCTCCACTTGATCGTCAGTAGTGTCAATGCATGCTTCCTTTCCGTAAATGTAGTCCTCACTTGGCCAATGAAAGACCCACATCAAGCAATAACACGCAGGGGGGGCTTCACATTTGCTCTGTCTAACATTGAGCATGCCACAAATACCCGCAAGTTCTGCTTGTCTCCAACAAGAAGGCCAGTATCAAACAACAGGATGGTACGCATGGACAACAACCAACAACCTCTACACTGCTCTTTCGCCGGATTAACATTGTTTGTGCAAGATTTAGTTCTGCCCAGGATGGGGATGACTGATAAGCAAACAAAGCACGCAGTAAATAGATGGGGCTGAAAATGGAGGCTTTGCAAACACTGTTGTATGATCCGTGCTCAAACAAAAGCACCATAAGGCCCTCGTGAAGCAAATTCCGAGAATCCAAAAAGGCGGCAACGGCACCACCGGACGCATCGATGTTCTCGGCCTCTCCGGATTTCACCAGCTGCGATTCGTGGAAGTCTCCGCAAAGCATGGCTTTGAGCACGGAGCTTGCAGCAGACCTATAAAGATTTCTGTCAAACAGTTGGAAGGCCAAAAGGTTCAAACACCGGCAGCAAATCGCGGCAAACAATTTGGCTTCCGACCCGAAGGTTAGATAGGCCATACTTGAAGCTCAGAGTCTAGCGATGAAATGCGTTGAAAGGACTTTTGTTGTTGTCATCTGTGGCAGAGTATGGTTGACAGTAGTATCCAGAAAATGTGGCGACCTGCTGGAATCTATGGTTTAGTCATTTTGGCTTTGTCAATTGTACTTGTTGTCCGTCGCAATCCTTTGTGATGTGTCGTTGTCCGTGGTGGTGTCACGAGAGGTGGTCAATCAAATCCTTTGAGGTCCAATGGTCCGAGACCGAGAATCCAACACCTTGAAACAAGATCCTGAGGCATAATCAGCTGTTGGCACTGACACCGAAAGAGAAATGAGTTGAGATCATGTCTGCTAAACCGGGAAGAACTCAGGTATAGCCACCACAGCCACACAATAAATTCCTGCCATGACCAGCTCAGCAGCTGTGGAACTTCGACCCGCTTGAGATACATCTCAAAAATCGATCCAAGCGACAGCACGAGGACGTGGCCGTGGTGAAGGCGCCCATCGCGGCTTCGCAGCGTGACGTCGCAGCGGAACTCGTTGGACCGGAAGTCTTGAAGCCTGGAGAGATCGATGTGGCGGGTTCGAAGGATGGTAACTATTATGTTCATCTCAGATTGAATGATACAAGTCTGTTTCCACAGGCGGACTCACGCAGGATAGATCTGTGCACCTGTACTGCTGTATGCGAGTAAGTAGCTTCCGCAAAAGGCAAGACCATGGACACTTACAGTAACTGTGATGGTCATTGTTCATGTTAGAGTGTCCATACTATTCAAAATGCTTGACGGGTGTCCATGGACTCAAATGAGTAAGTGGGCAGTTTGAAAACAAACAAATGGACATCTCCAAGTCAAAGTGCTACAAAAACCATCAAACACCTACTGTGACATATGTGACCTCAATCTGATGGTTTCTGCCGTAGATCACCTGGTCACCCGGATGAAGATCTTAGGTTCGACACGTTTTGATGGATCGATGGATTGAATTCTTGAGGGTTCGCGCCAAGAATGTTCAACATGGGATATCCCACTATCTTCACGTTTCTCCCACCAAGTGGCTGTTGCAGCAGGGACACCTGGTGATCCGCCAAATTCGGGTAAAGCTTCATGGCACCAGTCAGCGTGCCTCTTTCGGATTTGAATCGTGTGCCAGAGCGTTTTACAGGATTGCAATGCTACTCAGTGGAGCTAGACCGCAAAAAGAAAAGACCTTTTACACAGGTACCGCAGATTACTGTCATCTATGGCGGACTTTGGCCGCCGCTGTGCGTGTCAAAACCCGAGAAGCACATTGATGCCAGTGTCACTGAGCCAAGCTTCTGCGTGACAAACAGGCGGATGGGTATAGGCTTGTGGAGATTGAGACCTGTTACCTCTTGCGCATGGTCTAGTTATCAAAGTAGATGGATAGCTCAGGGTCATCGGATGGTTCATCTGTTTGTCTTCGAGATCGAGCCATCATGGAAAACACATTGTCCCGATTTTCCGCAAACCTTCTACAAGGTTCGACAAATTTCAAGAGTTGCTTCGGACATTTGTGAAGAAGTGCATGTTGGAGACAGATCTCATTCATTCGACACCCCCCGTGCGGATGAACCTTCAAGTACTGTACTGACCCCAACATGCACCTTCTTGCTGGGTCGGTCCAGAGCTGGTCTCCAAAACATGTTCAACCAAACGCCTCTGAATCCAACTACCAGCTGCGACCATCTCCATCTCCTCCCCCTCAAGCCTCACCACACTCTGCCTCTGACGCCGTTGCACCTGGCACGCAACACCCGGGAAACAAAGGACCGGAAGGATGACAAGGTGGTAGTAGAGGTGCCCTGGGAAGCGGGTTGCCACAAATCTGACACAAATTTACTTTCCAAATCCACCTCAACGATGTAAGCAATCAACATGAAGCATAATCAAACCCGTTTCCCTTCCGAAATGTGCACACTTCTAACCAACATTGGACCTAGGCCCTAGGCCTTGCAAGCAAAAGCAATGTAAGCAACAAGTAAGTACAGATTACCCAAATGGAAACCAACCCTCCTAGCTATCCATGCTGGATTGTGCCGGATGGGTGATCAAACAATTTGGCTTCAATCAATCCATATCTGCACCGTACCAATACTTGGACCTGTATCAAAAGGCAAACATTGGATTCCCGTCCAAAAGCTCGGTATCAAAAGCGATGCTATCCATCATTGGACGACCCAACAAAATATCTGAGTCGCACTGTCGAACGGTGGAACACAAGCAGCAATCTTTCCCGGATACGCTCGTGTGGGCGCAAGGGCCACGGTGCGCTACCCTCAACTACATCAAGTATCTTCAGCGGATTGAGCACCTCCGGCTGAGGCAGCATCCAGCACAAGTTCTGGTGGCAAGCAACAGCGGTATACAGCTTGGATGTTTTCTGGGTTGTCTACTTCATAGTGGAGAACATACATCGAGTCCCGTTGCAGCATGACATCAAACGGCACAACACCGTCTGGAAGCGCCAGGTCCAGTTGCACGCCGGTGGTCTCGCCTTCATTCAACACCCAAATGCGTTTACGCACAGGGTCTGTGACATAGATCTTGTGGTTCTCCGTCACAAACAACCCTGCCAAACCTCGCGCACCTTCCTGCTGAATGCTTCCGACAGTGGTGGGCTGTGGGCTACCAGGACTGAAGCGTAGCACTCGTTTCCCTCGACCATTACTGAGGTAGACAGTCTCCTCGCTCGTGACAAACAATTGACTTGCAGCGAAACGTTGATCTTCGGGAAGGTCGCTGCTGTCCAGCACTGGTGTGAGCACTGAGCCATCGACTCGCTGCACTTTCTTGCCAACATTGTCCAGAACGTAAAGCACTCCATTTGGTGAGCAAGCAACGCGAAACAAGCCTGGTGTCTGCAACAGCACTTGACCATGGCCATTTGAGAATTTCAGCAGCGAGCGGCGGTCTCGAGCCTCCCAGTCCACGACAAAGACGTCACCTGATGGTGAAACGGCCACGTCCAAAGGCCTATGCAGTTGGTTGTGACCGTTGACAGTGGCCCCCACCCCTGCCACAATCTGACATTCACTCTCACCTGGTCTGCAACGAAGAACCCTCTTGCTTGACATATCTGCAATGTAGAGGGCACCGTCGTGCCAGCAAAAGCCGAAACCGCGCACAGGGGGAGTGACTCGCTGGCAAGCACTGTCGCTGTCAGCGCCTAAATCCGGGCACCAATGCTTCAAACAACGTCTTTTTGGCTGGTTTCTCCGACGATCCGTCGGCTTGGCGCTTTCGGTGAAGGCGCAAGGCACCGTTCACGTCCATGCTCAAACCAGGGCCTGCGGCTCCGGCAGATTGGGCGAAACGGCTCAAGTGCTTCAGATTTGCCACTGACATAGATGGAAAATCGATATGCTGCAAAAGCAGCTCCAAGTGACATGTTCTCTCTGCTTTTGACGCGCCGACCCACTTGAAGACGCCTTGAAGGACTGTTTCCTCCCTCGCAACATGGAGGTCATTCCGTTGCAAAATCCTTCCGAGCTGCCCAGCCGTCAAATTGAGAAAGTCCTCACTCTCAACACATCGTGCAAAGTCGCCCAGGATTTGCTGTTCACATGCGTGTGCGAGATCACAACATTCGCTGTAAGTCCAAACGTGGGGCAACAGCTTCAGTGCACTTGCGCTGTCCAGCGATGCCTGCCATTCTGAAGCAAGGCAGGCTGTTAGATTTGGCAAACCATAGGAGCTTGCGAGTTTCAACCTCAAGTTCATCGTCTCCGGGACTACTTGTATGGACTAAAGTTGACCCATTGCTTTTCAATCAACAAAAACACGTCTTTTTGACTCACCCAAGGAGCAGCTCCACTTGATCGTCAGTAGTGCCAATGCATACTTCCTTTCCGTAAATGTAATCCTCACTTTGCCAATGAAAGACTCACATCAAATATATAACAGCACGCTGGAGGGGGTTCCACATTTGCTTTCATTGAACGTGCCACAAATACCCGCCAATGTGCTGCTCGTCTCCAACAAAATAGCCAGTATCAAACAAAGGATGCCGGATGAACAACCCCAACGCTGCCCTTTCGCCGGATTCACATTGTTTGTGCAAGATTTAGTTCTGCTCAGGATGGGGATGACTGATAAGCAAACAAAACACGCAGCTAAATAGATGGGGGCTTAAAATGGAGGCTTTGCAAATACTATTGCGTGATCCCTGCTCAAACAGAACGACAGCGGTTTTTGAATCTGACACCCACAGAATCAAGCCGAGAATCCAAAAGGCGGCGACTGCACCACCGGACGCGTCGATGTTCACAGACTCTCCAGTCTTCACCATCTGCGATTCGACGAAATCTCCGCAAAGCATGGCTTTGAGCACGGAGCTTGCAGCGGACCTAAGGATTTCTGTCAAACCGTTGGAACATCAAAAGGTTCAATGACCGTGGCAGCCTTGGCAGCAAATCGTGGCAAACAATTTGGCTATACTTGAAGTTCGGAGTCTAGCGATTTCTTTTCGGTGAGTTGGACACTTTGATGGCGCAACATGTGTTACTTGAAAACCTGGGGTGTTTGATTGGCTCCGATTTGGTTTGACCGATTCTAAGACTCTATGTGAATGTGATGGATTCATTTGATGTCATTGGATTTTGTCCTTGGCAATCAGTTGGGACGTGTCAGTCGTTATCTGTTTGTTGTCATGATCGAAACGGGGGCACAAATTGAGGTCCAATGGGCCGAGACCGAGAAAGCAACACCGTGAGGCATAGTCAGCTGTTGGCGCTGACACCAAAAAAGATCAAAAAAGGAAGGACTTGACATCATGTCTGCTAAACCGGGAAGAACTCAGGTAGAGCCACCACAGCCACAAAATAACTGCCATGACCAGCTCAGCAGCCGTGGAACTTCGACTCACTTGAGATACATCTTAAAAATCGATCCAAGCGACAGCACCAGGACGTGGCCTTGGTGAAGGCGCCCATCGCGGCTTTGCAGCGTGACGTCGCAGCGGAACTCGTTGGCCCGGAAGTCTTGAAGCCTTGAGAGATGGCGCGGGTTCGAAGAATGGTATATAATCAGTTTATGGCATCTTGAGTGATGTGGGTTTCCACGTGTGGACTCACGCTTCCAAACAAAACGATGGACATCTCCAAGTCAGAATCTGATGGTTTCTGCCGTAGATCACCTGGTCACCCGGATGAAGATCTTAGGTTCGACACGTTTTGATGGATCGATGGATTGAATTCTTGAGGGTTCGCGCCAAGAATGTTCAACATGGGATATCCCACTATCTTCACGTTTCTCCCACCAAGTGGCTGTTGCAGCAGGGACACCTGGTGATCCGCCAAATTCGGGTAAAGCTTCATGGCACCAGTCAGCTTGCCTCTTTCGGACTCAGTGGAGCTAGACAAAAAAGAACACCCTTTATCCAGGTACCAGGTAGGTTACGAATTCTGTCATCTATGGCGGACTTTGGCCGCCGCTGTATGTGTCAAAACCCGAGAAGCACATTGATGCCAGTGCCACTGAGCCAAGCTTCTGCGTGACAAATAGGCGGATGGGTAGGCTTGTGGAGATGGAGACAATACACACGTTGCGCGCTGTCACCTCTTGCATATGGTCTAGTTATGAAGTAGAGGGATAGCTCAGGGTCATCGGATGGTTCATCTGTTTGTCTTCGAGATCGAACCATCATGGGAAAAACAAGTTCGCCCCAAACCTTCTGTGACGTTCTACACTTCGAAGGCTGCTAGGGACTTTTGCAACAAATTGTATTTTGGCGACAGGTCTCTTTGGAAACCCTTCAATTCATCAACTATATATGATATATGTCATGTTTGCCCTCAACATGCGCCTTCACTGGATCATGGCCATGTGGTGGGTGCGACAGCAATCCGAATGGTTTCGGATCAAAGGTCCCCCAAACGTGGTCCAAACTACCAGCTGCGGCCATCTCCATCTCATCCCCTCAAGCCTCACACTCTGCCTCTGACGCCGTTGCACCTGGCGCGCAACACCAACAAAAGACGGGAAAGGATGACAAGGTGGGTATAGGTGCCCTGGTTCCTTGGGAAGCAGGGCGCAAACCACAAATCTGAACCAAATGACTTTCCAAATCCACCTCAACGATGTAAATATAAAGTCAACATGAATCAGACCGGTTTCCCTTCCGAAAGGTGCCCGACACCGTGCGCAAACTTCCAACCAACATTGGAAATTCCTGGGCCTCGCAAGCAAAAACAATGTACAGTAAGCTCGAAATTCTGAAACAAAAGCAAGGAACTAAAGATTACGCAAATGGAAACCCTCCTAGTGCCTCAGCTAGCTATCCATGCTGGATTGTGCCGGATGGGTGATCAAACAATTTGGCTCCAATCAATCCAAATAACTGCACCATACCTGTATCAAAAGGCAAACGACTATTGACCGTTCCAAAAGCCCGGTATCAAAAGCGGGTGCTATCGATCGGACAACCCAATATCTGAGTCGAACCATGGAGCACAAGCAACAGTCTTTCCGGATACGCTCATGTGGGCGCAAGATGGCGCAGGTGCGCTACCCTCAACTACATCAAGTATCTTCAGCGGATTGAGCACCTCCTGGGGCAAAGGCAGTATCCAGAACAAGTTCTGGTGGCAAGCAACGGCGGTATACAGCTTGGATGTTTTCTGGGTTGTCTACTTCATAGTGGAGAACATACATCGAGTCCCGTTGCAGCATGACATCAAACGGCACAACACCGTCTGGAAGCGCCAGGTCCAGTTGCACGCCGGTGGTCTCGCCTTCATTCAACACCCAAATGCGTTTACGCACAGGGTCTGTGACATAGATCTGGTTCTCCGTCACAAACAACCCTGCCAAACCTCGCGCACCTTCCTGCGGAATGCTTCCGACAGTGGTGGGCTGTGGGCTACCAGGACTGAAGCGTAGCACTCGTTTCCCTCGACCATCACTGAGGTAGACAGTCTCCTCGCTCGTGACACGAAGACTAACAGCTCTGAAATGTTTATCTTTGGGAAGGTTGCTGCTGTCCAGCACTGGTGTGAGCACTGAGCCATCGACTCGCTGCACCTTCTTCCAATCATCGTCCACAACATAAAGCATTCCATTTGGCGAGCAAGCCACACGACACAAGCCTGGTGTCTGCAACAACACTTGACCATGGCCGTTTGAGTATTTCACCAATGAGCGCACTCGAGCCTCGCAGTCCACGACAAAGACGTCACCTGATGGTGAAACGGCCACGTCCAAAGGCCTATGCAGTTGGTTGTGACCGTTGACAGTGGCCCCCACCCCCGCCACAATCTGACATTCACTCTCACCTGGTCTGCAACGAAGAACCCTCTTGCTTGACCAATCTGCAATGTAGAGGGCACCGTCGTGCCAGCAAAAGCCGAGACCGCACACAGGGGGAGTGACTGGCTGGCAAGTACTGTCGCTGTCAGCGCCTACATCCGGGCACCAGTTCTTTAGACAACGTCTTTTTGGCTGGTGTTTCTCCGACGATCCATCGGCTTGACGCTTTCGGTGACGGCGCAAGGCACCGTTCACATCCCTGCTCAAACCAGGGCCTGCGGCTCCGGCAGATTGGGCGAAACGGCTCAAGTGCTTCAGATTTGCCACTGACATAGATGGAAAATCAATGTTCTGCAAAAGCAGCTCCAAGTGACATGTTCTCTCTGCTTTTGACGCGCCGACCCACTTGAAGACGCCTTGAAGGACTGTTTCCTCCCTCGCAACATGAAGCTCATTCCTTTGCAAAATCCTTCCAAGCTGCCCGGCCGTCAGGTTGAGAAAGTCCGCGCTTTCAACACATAGCGCAAAATCGTCCAGGATCTGCTGTTCACACGAGTCTGCGAGATCGCTAAACTCACTGTGAGTCCAAATGTGAGGCAAAAGCTTCAGTGCACTTGCGCTGTCCAGCGATGCCTGCCATTCGGAGGCAAGACGGGCTGCTAGATTCGGCAAACCATAGGAGCTTGCGAGTTTCAGCCTCAAGCTCATTGTGTCCCTGACTACCTTTCATGGACTAAAACTGATCCATATTGCATTCTTGCCACTTCAGTTATACAGCAAAAAACCTTTTTGGACCCACCCAAGGAGCAGCTCCACTTGATCATCAGTAGTCTCGAGAGTCTCAATGCATGTTTCTTTTCCATAAATGTAGTCCTCACTTGGCCAATGCAAGACAAAGAGCAACCTTCAGGAGGGGAGTTCGACATCTGTTCCGTCATGTTCCGTCTATAACATGCCGCAAATACCGGGGGGGCACATGTTCTGCTCGTCTCCAGCGCACGGATGAGCAACAACCTCAACGCTGCACTTCCGCCGGATCCACACTGTTTGCGCAAGAATCCGTTCGGTTCAGGTCGCAGGGAAGTTGGCAAAACTCAAAGATTACCAATGTGCTTCCTACGTTGTCAAGGGATAACTGATGCGCAACCACAAATTGCAGCGAAATTTAAGTGGCATTGAAAAAGAAGCAGACTTTGTCTGACCCCTCTTAGTTTCAATGTACCCGTACCCTCCAGGCCATATTACCCCTGAATCAAATTCTAAGAATCCAAAAAGGCGGCAACGGCACCACCGGACGCATCGATGTTCACCGCCCCTCCGGTTTGCACCATCTGCGATTCGTGGAAATCTCCGCAAAGCATGGCTTTGAGCACGGAGCTTGCAGCAGACCTGAGCATGTCTTGAAAATTGCTGGAAGGCCAAACAGTTCAAAAACCGGCAGCAGATCCAGGCAAACAATTTGGCTTCCAACCCCAAGACTAGATAGGCCATACTTGAAGCTCAAAGTCTAGCAATGAAAGGACGTTTGTGGTTGTCATCTGTGGCACAGTAAGGTTAAACCTTAGGATGTCTTGAAAAATGCTGGAAGGAAAAACAGTTCAAAACCTCTAGGGCAAAATCTGGGCAACCAATCTGCTTTCAAATCCTAAGGCTAGATAGACCATACTTGAAGCTCAGAGTCTAGCAGTCTAGCAATGAAAGGACATCTGTTGTTGTCATCTGTGGCACCATACGGTTGACAGTACATGACAGTAATTAGTATCCAGGGAAAGCCTGGTGACCCGCTGGAATCTAAGTAGTTTGGTCAGTTTGGCTTTGACATTCAATGGTTCCATAGAGCATGTTGTTCGTTGCAATCTTGTCGGTATGAGATGTGGTCAATCGCAACAGCGACAAAATCCTTTGAATCCACTGCCAGGGCCTGAGATCAAGAATCCAACACCTTGAAACAAGATGCTGAGGCATAATTAGCTCTTGGGACCGACACCAAAAGAGAAAGGACTTGACATCATGTCTGCTAAACCGGGAAGAACTCAGGTATTGCTTCTATTGCTATAGCCACAACATAAATTCCTGCCATGACCAGCTCAGCAGCCGTGGAACTTCGACTCACCTGAGATACATCTCACAATCGATCCAAGCGACAGCACCAGGACATGGCCATGGTGAAGGCGCCCATCGCGGCTTTGCAGCGTGACGTCGCAGCGGAACCCGCTGGCACGGAAGTCTTGAAGCCTCGAGAGATGGCGCGGGCTCAAAGAATGGTATAATTACAATTTATGCATGTTTATGCCAGCTTGAATCATGTGGCTTTCCACAGGTGGACTCACAGGATAGATGTGTGCACCTCTACTGTACAGTTGTTGTGTGCGTGCCATCAAGAAAGCAAAACGATGGAAACTTATAGATGGAACGGTCATTCGTCACGTTAAACTCCGTTCAGCACATGGTTTGAGGGAGTCCGTACTTTGAGACTCGACTCTGAGTCAAAGCTCCACAAATTAAAACATGGATGAGCATGTTGTGTGCATTAGAATATAGGGAGACCTCCCAAAGAACTCCCCGAAGAAGAGAAATAGACTCGAAACCATCCAAACCCATTTGTGCCGTTGTTTACAGCGGCTTTATACCGTAGACATCCGTAGACTAGTTACTATTGTGCAGGAGGCTTGCCCCGGATAGAGGACAAATCATCCGGCTGAGACTCTTGCGTCACTATGATTCGATTAACGCATATATTAACGCCAAAGCTTGCAGAGTGATCACCTCCTCACCCGGATGAAGATCTTAGGTTCGATATACGTTTTGATGGATTGATGGATTGACACCACTCGCGTTTCACCCACCAAGCGGCTGTTGCAGCAGGGACGCCTGGTGGTCCGCCATGCTCTGCACTTCAGGCTTATCTGAGCTATGACCAAAAGCTGGAAAGTGTATAGACAGGTGAACTTTGTCCACTGCTGAATATATGTGCCAAACAAACATGATGCGGATGGATGCCAGTGCCAGCGTCGCTGAGCCAGAGTTCTGCCAGTAGTAGATCATGGTCACCACTCTAGCAACTTGACAACATGAATTCAAAGAGCTTCACCACTCTCCAACAACGTCTTACCGCTTGAGACCTTGAGCCTAACAAGAACGGAGTTGCTCTGGTCGACAGATGACCATCCCTGTTGCGCCTGAATCGCCAACCTGGTTGTAGTCGCCGTAGCCGCTGCCTCATGGCAAACTCCGTTGGGGCATTTGATTGGCCCCCATGAAATGGGTCTGTGGCTTTGTGTCATCTAATGAAAAACCGTGCTGACTGCGTTGACGACCTTGAAAAGCGAACAAGCGTGCAGCAATTATGCGACTTCAACTGCGGGAGTGCCGGTTTGCCAAATCTCAGCGCTCACCTGCCATGGTTTGGCAGTTCCTTGATTTGACAACAAGAAGGGCAATGGACACTGTTGGAGGATGTTTAATTCCCTCAACTGTAAACGCGATAAAGAGCCGCCCCTAGAGCAACTCTGTATATAGCAAGAATCAAAGAAGCCTCCAATCCACCACTCTGTGAGGAATCTCTGCCAACACTGCATTTCATGCCCCAAACGGTGCCACACACATCCCTTCTCCCCAACCACTCACGGCGATCCATCCTTTCAAGCCCCAACCAGCAACCCGCCAGTCTCACCTCCGACCCGTCAGCACGTCCTGCGGTGCGGTGCCCGTACAGCGGCGTGGACGGCACCCGAAGCATGGTGTGGCGGTTGGAGACACCATACTACCTGAAGAAAGCAAAACAGCAATCCCAGAATGCATATCACCAATGTATCATGTCTATGTGTCCAGCAAAAGTTGTTCCAACCCAAGCCCACAAACGCAAACACTCCGCTGCTTGCTACATTCTCTAGAACACCGGTAAAACTAACTACAAGCTGTTGAATCTCCTCCGGCTGATTGGGAACCAAGGGACCAAAAGGGTCATCTCCGAACGACAAACATCACCGGCTCTTCCTCTCCTTTGGCCAGGTCCAGTTCCTGAAGAGTCTTCAAGGTGCGCCGGTGCGCTCTTCACATCAGCCTCGGGCTGGAACAACAGGTCCTGCGGCCCAACAGGCTAGGCGGATCCACTTGTAAGGGAAAATGGGACATCAAAGCCACGAAGGCAATGTCTGTGAGTGTGCGTAAATATAGGGGGAACTTACCTGCTTCGTATCTGAAGCATGGGAAATTTGGAGAGTCCTTCTGATTTGGACACACCGCATGCGTGGATTTGCTTGGAACACATGCGGCCATCTATGTGTGGTGGTCATTGGGTTGGTAGCAAGATCTCTTCTTCCACAACAAATGGATTTGAACAAAAATGACAATGCCGTTTAACTGTCCCTCCAAAGTGAATGTTGAACATATGTTTCGCAACTGCAGTTGCTTATGGGTACCCTTCAATTCGCATCCAGCAAATGAACAAACTTGGGACATGTCCGATCCGATAGTCACCAAACACGGGCAAAAGTGACTCCAACGATTGTAATCGTATCCATAAAATTCAATCTGGAGTGTCGAGATTGTCTCTACTTCGTCATCATTTGTTTCTACTGCTTCTGGCACAAGGGAGAAGCAGCCTCTCAATAAAATTTCCGGGGTTCAGGATTGATTGATGGATGTATTATTGCGAAATCATTTGACCAAATCTTACAAAGTTGACTTCGTGTGTTCGCATCCAGGTGCCAGGATTTGGTGCTTCGCCAGATGTGTAGTGGGAGAAACCAGTGAACCACTTAGAACTCCGGTGTATCTACACTTCGGGCCTTAAGGTCGATAGGACAACCAATGTTTGTTAGTTCTCAGGGTAGTTTGTTCCGGGAAAGATCTTGATAATATGGAGGAGTCCATGGTCCAGGCGGAAAACATGATCTCCAACCGCAAGCCAAGTTCCTGTCGAGTACATAATGTATGAAATGAACAGCACTCCATAACCTTCTCTGAAAAGCTATGCCTTCCAACCAAAGGAGCTTCTAGTCTACACCCATCCTCCTTGTGGGATATTTTCCTACCAACAGGCGGTTCATGGCCATTGATCACAAATTGAGGGCAACACAACACGAAATGCAAAATCAATCTTATAATACATTCTTATACATTCTTATACCAACCGCCCAAAAATGCCCTGTTCCTACCAAAACATGGTTATAGAAATGATATTACTGTTGAACAAGTAACCAATTATAGACTCTTTCCAACTCTTTGATTTATCAAAGGCTTTAGCACGCGGTTGCGGTCTTGGAGTCCACGCAAATTCGGCAAACCCCATGCGCCGCAAGGCGCACGCCGGCAAGTTGAACGGCCATGACAGTCCGACGGATCAATCTTGTGAAAACAAGAGATCTGGCCACCAATGGACCAATGTCTTATACTTGCTGCCCATGCAACATCAACTCAAAGCTCCACTGAAATGCTGCGGCAATGATGGAATGCAACTCTGAGACGTTGCAAGATTTGAACGTAAGTCGACATGATTGGCTGCACAGCAAACCTTGAACAGGCTGTTTTGGATCGCCCAACCAAGGTACCCCTGCAAATCCATGTTCTCTAGCGCGCCCAACATCATCCAACTCTTTGAATTGGGTTTTCGGAGCAGGAAGGACGTCTTAGAGTCTTCAACTCCAAGATCCTCGAAGACTTGAACTGCGGACTTCAACTCCCAAGATTTGGGTCTTCAAGTCGACTCAGCTCCATGTCTTAAACTCCGAACAAGTGGCCGCCACCCCGTCGAAAGCCCAAAACAGTCAGCAAGCTCTGCTAGTCCCCAAGGCCTCTCTACCCACGATTTGGTCTGAGTCACATGAATTTCACGGTTCAAAAGAGTGGCGTTAAATAACAAGTTAGGATCGGGCCAGCTTTGTGGCCGGACCGTGAGAAGAGCACTCACCAGGTTTTTCTGTGGGAGCCGACCAGATGTTCGAAATGACATTTAAATAAGAGATTTGGGAAAGTGGAGATGCATGAATTCAGAATAGTAGGTCCACCGAACATGTCAGAGGGTGTGCCCTGTCGAACAAGAAACTGTTGACCAAAGGTTCCATTTGTTTGATCACTGCGGTTCTTCCAGCTTCTTCCCTTAGATAATCTTTCAAGAAACACAGAACACCTGGCAGCGTGGATATTTCAGCTCCGGCTCCGCAGAGTTCGTCGCTTCAATGACAAGTAATGACGCTGTTCTGCCAGGAAGCCTGTAGCCTTGGAAAAGGCTGTGCGAAAGCCATGCGCCAGCTTTCAGATCTTGTCGCTTCAATTGATCCAACAAGGCCAACAGACTTGCTCCTTTTCATGGCCTCCAAAGTCCTGTCGTCATATCCCAGCCAGGTGATGAGATCCTCAACCAATGATCCAATCGGCCTCCTCCTCGGCCACCTCGCCCTCACGTGCCGCGAAGCCTGCAAGCGAGGCCAAGGAGCCACCCTTCGCCGCCGCCCACGCGGAGCCCGACGCAGCGTCGGCCTCGATGGAGGGCGTCGGTGTCTCTCCGAGGGCAGTGCTCACCTGAAGGCCCCGACCCAAGGTGGTCCACTTGGATCTCTTCTCCTGGCGCTTTTGCACACCGCCATCATGGGGGCAAATCACCACGAAGGTGAAGTACTTGGCCCAATCGTCGAAGGAGATGTAAAACCTGCCAAGCGTCTGTCCAAACAAATCAGCACCTGCTCCATGAGGTTTCCTAAACTCAAAGCTATACCTTGACATGAATGCACGAGCAGCAGTTTCCCAAGAACATGAGAAGAAACCCTGAAACTTCCACGAAGCCCCAACAACAATCTAACCACATACCGGTGTGGTTTCTTGACAGGCAATCAACATATATTATATATATATATAATATATCATCTTCTGGTGTAAACCACCAGCCCTGAGGGCCTTCCATCGTTCTTATTGTCGGTGACCTTCAGGCGCTCCTTCAGCTGGGGATTCTGCTCCCAGAGCTCGCTCCGATCACTCCAATCGCCGCGAAACTCCTCAGCTCGGACGATGAAGGTGACGTTGGCCGTAACAACGCGGTCCTTGTGAACGAACCAAAGGGTGGATAAGTGGCTTGTGAGCTGATATAGTAGGTGCAGGTTTGACAGTGATGTACCGTCATGTGCTTTGTACATCTTTGTACAAAGTGTCAAAGCTTTGTAAACAATGCAAGCGTTGGCTCCACTGGACGCTGGCAAGTCGAAAAAGACCTTCTCTCAGAGCACAGTACAATAAAAGCAACAAGCCAGACAAAGAGGACATTGCATGGGACACGACCATCAACATTCATCGATTGCTTTCCTTGAGCCTCAACTTCCATCCAGGACTCTAAGCAGCCCCAGGGGTTTCGAAGCACCATGAAACGCATCGGCGTCCCATCGTCGAGCTGTTCCTCTCGGACTTGCAACAAGGAGTACTCCTCGGCCCGCGCGAATCGCAAACAAGGAAACATGACAACTTGGACTCCAAAGAGATTGGGTTGGTGGTTTGGGGGGTCCAGCTGATTTGGTCTGGGGGATTCACAGTTGGTTTGGTTTGATGGTTCACAACTGGTTGGTTTGGTGGGGGTGGCAGCCTCTAGCTGTAAATCCAAGCTCCAGGACAAACAATCAGTTGTGATGATTGCACATCCGTGAGATCGCGGCAGCGGCCCGGCACTGAAACAGGAAATGTATCACATAAAGTGTGTGCCTGGTGGAAAAAGGCTTTGACGCCTTTGGTTTCCAGAAACAGAAAAATAACGCCCGAGAGATCAACATACTTTCTATGTTGATGTTGTTGTAAGCCGATGGGTCACCCGTCAATGGGCCACTGGTCCTACGCTTCGCCAACCCCACTCAACTCTACCTTACAAGTTAGGGTTTTAATATGTTTTATATAATGATCTTCCCATTTGTAACTGGTCAATGTGTTTTTTCTCAATTGGTCAAACATTTAATGTATATAACTTATATAAATGTTTTTTTTATTTGCAGCCCCTTTAACCCGTCCGCCTCAACACCCCTACAACCCATACCTGTGAGATTCATGGCCATGCGAGACTAGACTCATGGTTGTTGAACAAGCCAACGCCGTGAGCATCTTCTTCGGCTGCTCCACCACCGTGGATACCTTGGATCACTGGAATTTTCACAGAAACCAGGGAAACAACACTCCACAACTCAGACCCTGTCTCCGAAGCAAAGGATTCAGTCTCCTTGACTTCCTCATGACAAATGCTGTGGAGTGTATGGTTCTAGCATGTGGCGGTCTTTTGTCCAGACTGAATCGGAGTCATTGAGTAGAGTAGAGGGAGGTGATGGAGATGTAATCACTGGATTGGGTGGTACAGGCCCCAGATGGCCCAAGGGTCCCTGATACGTTGTCGCACTAATGGCAAAACCTGGCCTGTTCTTTAGCAGGGATCCTGTGATATAGACAGTGATCCAAATCCACAAATCCAGCGAGGTCAACACACATATTCAAGTATAGCAGCACTTGTTTTGTTCCTGTGGTCGGTCCAAAGTCCTCTCTTGTTCATTTCTTTCTCAAAACATCTCAAAACACTATATAGTCAATTTGATGTGCCATGGAGTCGAATCCATATATAGCCTAGGAGTCCACAAGGAAAAAGGAATTTCCATGAATTTCCTCTTCAGATGAGCTAAAGACCCTTTTCAACATGGTCTTTAACTTGCAGGGTATATGCGATTTGTGTCATATATCATGATATAGATATAATGTAGTATATATTGAACGACAACCAACGGCTGAAATTACGCCTCACCCGCACACTCAGCCTGGCCCTTGAACAAACAAACATGCTTGCCAGAATCATGCTTCGCAGAATTCATATCATAACCAAACACCTCAACTACTATGTTTCATGTAATAGCCAACTCATTTCCTGTAACGATCACCATGACGTAGCCTACCGGCCCCTTTCTAGTTGTCCGCACAACCTCACCGGCCCCTCGTCCCTGCCTGGACACTACATGTGACACAATATTGGGCAGCTGCATCTTTGCTCAGCAGCTCAAACACTGCCGACGCCTCATGTGTGTCGGAGGCGAATCCTGCGCGGTGTAATGCGCGGTCCCCCAATGATCCAAGGGGCAAAGCGCCAGTGTGTCCCAAGCGTGGCGTGAAGGAGGGGCAGGCTTCTGTAAACGCACATGTTTGCGGGATTCTGAGATGATGCAGTGGCCCAACAAAGGCGCATCTAAGAGAACAAGTTGCATTGTGAGCGTTGTTTTTCCAATCACACAACCAAGATGAAATATAACAGCCCACTTGTTGAAAAATACCAAACATAGGAAGACTCAAAGCTCCTGCTCCTGCCAATGGTTTGACTGTTTGGGTCTGAGAACCTACTTTGATTTACCCTGGTGAAGGGCAAGTCTAGCCTGTTTGATGGCATTTCGGAACCCATCGTCCTTTCCAACCGATGCTGTTGGGACCGCGTTTGCCAGCGCGACAACAAGCAGTGCGGCGGTACCAGGTGCCACTTTTCTTCCAGTAGCAGATCACATTGGTGACGCCTCGGCCAAACAAAGATCCAGCAGAATTTCACGGGCTAAAGTTGTGGAGAGAGGTTTTACTGGGTGATCTGCTCAGTTGTTTCCCATGCCGCCGTGGATTCCGTGCCCTCGTGCAGCATCACCGTCCCCCAGTCTCTCGTTTTTTAGTGGGTTTTGACATCTCTATGCAGGGACAATGCTGAAACAAGTTGGAACCAAATTGCACATGAAAAAAAGCAGGGTGATCAATATGTTCCACAGTACCACCATTCCGTGATGTATCAAACCCAGGAGAGTCCCATCCACGTTTCTCCATTTGCTCTTTTAAATTCTGTTGTTTAGGGACCTGTCTTGTTAGAAAATCCCGGGTCTGTGAGACCTTCTTTGATGTTAGAACCATGCCGGACAGGAATGTGAGACCTTCTCCCAACTCCCAAATGCAAACAGCTTGAAACATAAACATTTGCATACCCCGACCCATCTCTGCTGCTTCCCCAAGACTAAAGTGCTACACCTGGCTTAAGCTGGGCACCGGAGGCCGTTGAGCCACGCCACCTGTAAGGACCATAAAAGCCCAGGCTGCACTGCCACCCGCCAACATCCCATAGCAACCGCAGAACTTGGCAACTGCCTTCTCCAGCAGCTGCACCTGGTGTTGAAACACAAAAGATCATAGATTGCTCAAAACTTCGTGCTATCACCATCCAACCAGCTTTGTCCCAATGTGAACCTCTATAGGGTGGTGTAAACTATGTTACCTGTGTGTCACTCTCTGTTGTCTGCGCTGTCGTGCTTGTCCTGGTGTGTTGTCACGCATTGTGAGGTACTATGTATTACTGTACTATGTATGTCATTGGCTGTTGTCCCGTTTGCCCTTGTGTATTGTCAAGCGTGGTGTGTTGTGATTACCGTTTGGTGTTGTCCTCTGTGCATGTCGGGCCATTGGTGCGACTTTTGGGTCGGGCCAACGGAGGGGGACGGGGACGTGTTGTTTTGTCATTGTGGGTTTGATGTGTGACATTGTCTGTGACATTGTTTGTTGCCTGCTGGTTGATGCCCAGCAGCAACAAAGTCAGAGTTGTCTAGTCCAGAATCTAGCCCCCAGTCCTATCGGGTGAGGCAAAGGAACGTGGGGGTGCGGATGATAGAGGATGATAGGGGGATCCAATCGGGCTCTGGCATCATTTTTGAACAGGCCATCGACCCAGAAACCACACATGTTTGACATTATTATGTGTGTCACAGGCGAGACTCTCAGGTGGTTCAATGGTTCAGAACCGTCTGTGGACAACCCCTTATTGATAGGATCAATGTGTCAATTAAGACCAGATTCATCTAACTTGACAGGGTAATTAGACACCAAAAACTGAAACACATATATTCTGTCTACTCCTTGGCGGTCACAAGCAAAAAGGGGGCTTCCTTTGAACAAATCCTCCTGGTACTCTAAGACCTACAAACTGACCTTCACACTCTCACGTTCCCATCGCTAGTTGAAACGTTTAGCATGAGCCTAGTCGGGGACCAGCGAAAGTTGCGATCAGGGCGCCCAAAGCTCTTCGCCCACCGGATAGGAAAAGGCTGCTTTGGGTTCTTCGTTCTGCTTGACGCAGGGGATGAACTCATCGATCACCACCGTTTGCCAAGCTTTGTCCACTGGATCAAAAAGGGAGATCTCGTACTTCCTGGAGGAGGCCGTACGAAAAACGGGCACACACCACACATGGTCAACTAGTATAGAAATCAATCACAGGAACATGTTTTGAAGATACCGTATTATGAAGATACCATGTTAAGTGTGAGCAGGTGGGTGTGAACATGTTTTTGTGTTAGGACAAGGGCCAGGGAAACCCTTTTGGCAACGCATTGATAGGGAACTGGCATTCCGCTCGCTTGGAGCAAAAAGGAGTGCACCTCTTTGTTCATAGTTAGGAAGCCAATGCCACCCACGTATGCTACAGCGCCCCGGGTTTACACCCCTCGAAACACATCCGTCATTCCTTTTTTTCTGAAGCCATTGTCACGCAGGTCGACCAAGCCTAGCCTCCCAGTCCTCCTACTTTGATTAGTGGTTATATACATTGATGCTAGCCCCGGCAGCGAGCGGGCAGGAATTTCACATGTAGCCACCTCCAAAAGCTGACAACCAACACGGCCTCCTGTCAAGCAACTCCAAAAAATGTACCCAAGCATGCGCCAGTTTGGTGTCTTATTGCCTTATGTACCTACCTTTCCAACGGTTGCGCATTTGCAAACGGATTGCGACCACCTGCCATGCAGCTTGTATCAGCTTGTCAGTGGTACTTCACAAACATTTGGTTTGACTGTTTTTGCATGTTTTTGCGGCATCTTTAGCTTACACCAGTTCATTTCAATGTCCAAGGACAAATTTTGCCAGGGTATCTCGACTGGCTTCCGAGGCCTATAGAAACGAATGCCTGTGCAAAAGCTTCTTACTGCGTATGTAACCCCCTTTTCTTAAAATGTATGATCCTGTTAGTAATAAAAAAGCATGTTATCTATCAAATATGAGCTGCTGTGGTACCAAAGAGTCGATCCGGTTTACACAAGCCTTGTTTCCTCGTGACAATTTCCTGCCACTGCCAGACTCCCATCCTTTTCCATGCCGATCCTTATGTTATGTTCCTTTGAACATCCCAGCCTCTATAAAATACAAGATGAACGTGTCTTCCTTTTGTGAGGGCCACACCAGTATGAGCCAATCATCCTCATTCTAAATGTTCAAGTTATCTCTTCAATGATGCCTTTTCCGTTTCAAAACACCTTCATGGAAGGCACCTAAGTACTGCCAAAAGCAATATATTTCTATATCTTATACAACAATATTCTAATTCTAATCATGACTCATGGGCATTAAGATTATACATGATTATACTTGTATTATTACATGTGTTTTGGCTTGTTTGGGAAAAACACAACAAGTAGTTCAAGCTAGCATTAAACACCACGCTCTGCTACACGGCACCGAGTGACCCGTCGTCTGTGAGGTGCTTGCTACTGAAGAGCTTCCGGATCCGCGAGGGCTGCTCCGCCAAGCAGGAAAGGGCACTCATGAGCCAACAATCACTGAGGTTTCCTTGTCCTGAGACAGTTTCCAAAGCAAGCCATGGCCATGGGCTGAATAGTATGGCCATGTCAGGATCTTGACTATTTCAACGGTTGTACATCTCAGCCAAGCATATATGAAGCTAAGACATACTTGATCTCAGTGCTGTTTCAAGTTCCTGCCGCCACTTTCAGACCCTTTTTCATGTAAACACCTGGTACATCGTGCACTAGTTCCAAGCAAACAAGGGCTGGAGACTGCTTGGAACACCTTTTTTTCACAAGTTCCACACCACCTCAAGGGTACCCCGCTGGGTACCCCCCCCCGAATCACTGGACTTAAGCCCGTCCGACTTCCGCCGAGTCTCGGATGTCTTGTGGGTTGATCTGATCGAAGAGGAGGGCCTCTGAGGGGTCTCCCAACATCCGCGCACGCATCCAGAACTCGGGTTGCTGTCCCACCTTGAAACTGGTCTGGGACTCCCCCACGCTGGACCTGAGATCATGGCTGGGCGTGGCTACAAAGGTCTGGTGTTCAATCCTGGCCATCTACAGAGTTTAGTGAAGTGGTCGCCAGTGGCCAGTTGCAGGTTTAGCTTGGAAGATCAAACGCAAAGAGTCACAGCTCACGAATCCCGTGGATTGTGATTTTCGAAGCAAAACCGGCAGAATCCGTGGCACGAACAGGCACAGGCAAACCAATTTTCGAACCAAACACCAAAATGGGGACATCACTATGTCCAGCTGATGGCAAGCCACCACCACACCACCAAACTCAAGTGATTCTTAGCCACCCAAACACGAGTCATGGGGGAAGTCTGGATCTTTGAAGGCGTTGGGATCGTCCTCTACGCCGGTGAACTTCGCCCGTGAGGTCCATCGAAAGGAGTACTTCCCTTGCACCCCTGGCGACGTCCAGGAGAGGAGCGACTGGCCTCGGAGGCAGTGGGGTGTGGGGTTTCGACATCGTTGTTTCTACTGTGTATAGAGAGAAACAAAGGCCAGCTCAAATCGGAACAGAGATGAACATGATAATTAAGCATGGTTTGACTCAGGTTGTGCTATCATGTGCTATCAAAATAGTCTATCAATCTGCACACTCCTTCACAACATAAACAGATTACCAAGCTGAATCTCTCCGGGTTGCTCACTTGCTCTCCTGCCTTCACGACCTGGGTGGATGCAACCCCGTGCGTGTGACTGTCTTGGTCAACGAGCGGGTGACTGTCTCTGCCGGAATCGTCTCCACACCATCCACCGGACGTGTCTCTTCCACGGGTCCCACGGTTTGACGAGCTTCATGTTGCACTGGGGGTTCACTTCATGCTAGGTGGTGGAGGATTTCAGCAATTCCATACAATTTTACTTTGTTTGCTCCCCATACCTTGTGGCAGGCATCGCACAGGTGCTCCACAGAAAGCTTCCCACTGGTAGGAAGGACGTGGATGGACATGGAAGGCACAAACCGACATGACATGCTTACATGCTCATCCATTGGCTGTCTATTTCAGTCAAAACGCGAAGGTGGGTCGCTCGCCATTGGTTAACTCCACATTCTCGCAGTTCCGGAGATGGAAGTAGAAACACTTCGAGACCCGATCCTAGGTAGCCAAAGTCAAAAGCCTTTGGACTGGTGCGCGGCAAAACAACCTCTGGTTTGCCAAAACTGATGTGCATGTGAGTGGCTCCTGACTTCCCAACTCCCAGAAATCCCAAGGTCTCAAAACAACGATCTCAAGACATCTCAAGACAACTGAGAAGACTTTTTCAGCGCACCGATGTGTCACCACACCGATGTGTGACAGCTCTCCATCAGTCCATCACTCCAATCCATCCGGATCAAAGCAAAGTACTGTTACTAGTAGCTTCTTGCTCCTAGTATTACGGCCAGGAGCCCCTAGTACGAGTAGCGTCCGATCGCTCCTAGTAGCGATGCCCTTTGCCCCTTGCTCCTAGTAGCGTCTTTGTTAGTACTGTACTGCATGGTGAAAATGGGAAGATCTTTGCCTTTTTCTTTAGCACCTTGGAGCCTGCACAGAATGTAGCCTTGAGCCGTGGCCACATGCAAACTTGTATCCGGTGACTTGAAGCTGGCTGTACTTCGGCTGAGGATCAGAAGTGTTGGTGATGAGCACCTTGGAGCGGCTCACCGGGCTGAGAATCAAAACAGTTTGAGGACATATGCCCAGGGGCGCCTGCTACAGGTTCTTGGTCAATATGTCTTAACTTGTCTTACTAAAATTTGTAGGTCTGATGTTCTGCCTCTTACACCAAAAAAGGAACACACTTGCTATAGACACTACGTCACTACCGCAAGCAACTTCCCTCAATACCATTGTTCTATGGTCACACTGACACCAGGGTCATCCTTCCTCGGTCGACTCACCAAGGTGGGCGGTCCATTGCCCTACGGCCGCACGGCACGCGGCCAGCAGTTAGGTGATGTAGCTCTTATCCCCTGCCTGCCATGAAAGGAAGCATCGAATTTCCAAGATTGACATAGGAGCCAATCTTTCCTGCCAGGACCCTACTGAAAATCGATCTCTGCCAGAGCTCCCCACCCCGCCCAACGGCTGCCACGGCACGTCCAGGCCCTTGGGCGTCGTCTGCGGCGTCACCGCGGCCGCGGAGCCGCAGAGCCAGGAGATGAACTCGTGCACTTGGATCTCACCTCGGTGAGCCCCGGGAGGAGTCGTCCGTCGTATGTCGTTCGTTGTAGGAAGATATGCCACATGTAACAAGCTGTGGTATAGTATGGTATAGTGCCTAGACCAAAGACACGACGGGGTTGCCATGACCCGGTGTCGGAAAAGGAATCGAAGAGGTCTCCAGAGAGCATGTTATGCTAGGATCACGAGATACTGTGCTGACTTCTTTTGGTGAGTCTCTGCCTGCAGAGTCCAAGTCTCCATCTTTGTTCGTATCATTGGCCTCAAAGATTTGCGGGGCCATCCTGAGAGACACCACCGTGGCACACACGGTTCACCGGTGGCACCACTGTTGAAAGATCTAGCACGGTTCTATTTCTAATCACAACCGTGTCTCACCAGAAGGTGCACTGTCCAAAAAAGCCACCGAGATCCACTGCCATGCAAATATGTGTTGAAGTCACCCACAGAGTGAAGAGCCTCCTCTTCGTTTAGAGACCAAATCAGCCACATGCGTGTGATTGAACACACTCACATGATCCAGGATGTCTTTTGCCTGAGGAGATTGGAAAGCCATGCTCCTAGTCTTGAACCAGGATTCTGTGCCAACTTCGGGTTGATTTGTTGAAAAACCACCAGCATCTCCTCTTCTGACAATACTCCATCTCCATCAGCATCATATTTCCTTGGAAGCGGTGACATGCCAACATGCCTGCGGGTCATGTTCAATTCTCTCGTGTTTCCAAGCTGATGGGAGACTCTCTCTCTCTCTCTCTCTCCAATATCATGTTCAAGCATCTCAAGCCTCCTTACTCTCAAAGGACTAGGATTGCACCTGTCTGATAAGTGATTGAAGTGTATCTGTATCTTTCCTACTGTGGAGTGAGATGTGTCGTTGTAATGAACACAAGGATTGCAACTGAGAGGCATACGCGAGAGTTTCATGGATGTCATCAGTGATCATCAGTGTTCTTACTGGTGGATAGCACTCAAACCAATGCTTTTGCCAGTTTCTTCTACTCGGAACAGGGAAGAAACCATACGACAAACCGCTATAATTCATCTGCCAGGCCGTGCGCTGTCACTATACGGACACTTGCAAAACCCAAAACAACTCTGTGACCACGGCTTGACCACCCACTCTGTGGGTCTGTCCCACTCACTACAGCTCAAAGGACCCCCATACAGTGGGTTTTGTGAGTCGACCGGACGACTGGCCGCTCCACGATCGCTCTGATCCCAGTGTCTCGAAGAGCTCTTGCAAGCGCTTCTTGGCAGCCATGGCGGATGGTCCAATGGAGCGGAAATTGTCAAATCTTATAAGACTCTTCAACATCAGCGTTCTTGTTCCGTTCGTAGCGATGCCCCTCGCTCCGTTCGTAGTGATGCCCTTTGCTCCTAGTAGTAAGGCCAGGAGCCCCCCTATAAGACTCTCATGTTACATCTCGCTACACGACAAATACGGGGTGGTCTTACGAACATATAATGTGTTTGCTTCATAATAATTAGATCTGTGTAGCACATGTAGGTATGTGGGTAACAGCAAATGAATATGTGCGGTCTCTCCATGCTTTACTATATGTTGGAAGCAACTCTGCAGCAAATGTGCATCCAAGCCGCAGGTGGCAACAAGAATTCATGGCAGGGCAACATTGGGTGGGATGACACACGTACGTTTGATGTTGTTTGACTCAATCAAGAGCCGCGTCGCTTGAAAACAAATCTGAAAGGAACAACCGAAACACACCACCTTCCCGACCTGAACAAACACAGGGCATGGGAGGAAAAGTCGGATCCAGTAGTTCTAGGATGTTCTTCAACCATCTATAGGATTCTAATGGATTCTATAGGGCAAACATGGGCAAACCAAGCATCTACTGATACGGGTATGTCCGCATTTAGTGCTTCGACTCGGCCTTTGAAGGGCGAAGCGAACCCCGAAAGTTTAGGCCTAAAGACCCCTGTACGAGGGACCCATCAACTGGGGACACCCATGTTACCAACAGCTCCAACTTCGAGCTGTACCACACAACATCGTACGCACGTGGACGACAAAGCGCATCCCAATCGGACTCGCCCCTTCGCTGGTGAGGCACTTCAGCACGGTCCATCCAAGGTCTTTCGCCTTTCGGTGGCACTGTGATGCTGGTGGCTCTCACACAAAGAGATCGCGGAGGTAGTCATCGATGTCATCCTTTCCAGCGCGGCACCCATGTACTGGACGATTCACAAGAAAACATTCCGTAGCCGGATCCATGAGCGCAAGTCTTTCTTCAGGAAACGACTAGTGCAAAGGCAAAATGTGGCTGCACATGTTTGCCATCTACCGAGTTGAAGACGCAATATGACTCATTGTCATTGCAAGTCATGCAATCTCCCGATCCAACATGACAAGGAGAGTCACCGAACCCCCCATTGTGCGCGAGGGCCTCACGAGTGCGCACCTGGCAGCGTCGCAGGATTGCGATGATGCGATGATGAGATATGTTTATGTAGTGATATACTGTTGATGGACAAAATCCTGCACCACTTTGCGCACACTTTTCTTGCTGCCCTCGTTCTCCCTCGTTAACATTGGGGCCACCACAGTGAGAAAACTAAAACAAGTTAAAGGTCCAAAATCCTGCACCACCTCCTCAGAGGGGTCGCGCCAACATTGAATGAGGGGGCACGGGGGTTGCTATGCGACCCTTCCAGGGTAAAGTGGTGAGGTGGTGCAGGATTTTGTCCATCAACAGTATGTCTCATAGTATGTCTATTGTATGCAATCATATAGTTATATATATATATAATGTTATGTGTATATATATATATATCATATCTCACCTGTGCAAGTCCTTCGATCTCATGGGCGTTTCTCACAGTTCTCCAGCCGGGTGAGGCCAGGAGTGTTCACCCTGCCAATAAGATATGAGCGACATGCAAAACCTCTTGTGCGTAGTGCGCACTCTTCCCAACGTGATCGTTTTTCTGTGAACCGTATCGTTCCTGAGGGTTTGGACACACCTAACAACATGTACTAAAACCTCATCGTTTTTCTTGTGAACCTTATCGTTCCTGAAGGTTTCCCTCATTTTACTTTCTTAGTCTTCACTGGCCTTCATCGGAGGTTTGGCAGTTGCTCATATATAGTTTATATAACGCTCTGTTCAGCATCTTCGGTCCATGTCCTTCCAACTTGCCTCCTCGGCTTCTCAAACAAGGAAACTAAGTCAGGCAGAACAAATTGTTGAAAGCCTTGCAGGAGCATCTGCGCAAAAAAAAAGTGCAACCATAAACTTACCCTATTACTTATAATTACCCTCTCCTACCCACACACCACATCACTTACCCACAAGGAACCACAAAAAAAGAACTGATCCACTGCCCTAAGAACGCCAACTAACCATCCTCCCATCCTCCCCTAAACATCTCCAAGCCACGACACGGCCCCAATCCCCCCGTTCCACGACCATCCCGTTTCCACCGCACGACCGGGGGCCTCGGGGTCCGGCTGCCGCCAGGCCAAGGACTCCAAGGCTCGAAGATCCTCGCCGTCCGGGCCTCGGAGCGGTGATGCGCGGTTCACCCGTCCGGGGGTGGTTGAAGTCACACAACGCAATAGATGTGATGCAACTATACTTATATAATATTGTAAATTGCTGTGAATATCTGACATCTGTTTTATGATATCTTACATATTCAATATCGCAGCAAAAATCATTACAATAAATATTATAGAGGAACAACTGTATAATAAAATACAGGCAACATGCCTCCAAGAGCGGGAAACAACGCCTCCCCTTCCACATAAATGACTCATGGGCCGATCTGCAGAACTCCCCCGACCGATCTGCTAAGCTCATCTCCTGGTTCCTCCTCAGCTGCCTCCGGCTGCGGTGCCTTGCCCGACAGATTTCGGCGTCGATCGGGCGATGCCACTCACACCGATGGGGCGATGCATGGGCTGTCTTTCCCACTCTCAGATGGAATCGCCCTTTGAAGAATCCTAAGTATGTCTCTCTTTCTTGTTCCAACAATGCAGGTTTGTTCGATTCGGACCGTTGTTTCTTGTCCCTGCGTGGTTCGCGGTTCGCGGTTCGCATTGCGACCTCTCCGTCATCAAAAGCACTTGGAGGTTCGGCATGCACCTGCCAGCGGAGTGAGCATGGGGGAGTGTGAACTTCGCCCCCCAACGTGGCCTCCCACTGGCACTGCATTTGGAATCCCTTTCTCGTCAATTTCTGAATCCAATGCCGGTGAGGCAATTCTGTTTGTTTGTTCAATCTTAGATAACTATATAGTATATAGTATATACGGTATATTAGATGACGAACGGGTTCAACTTGTTCTGCCCTTTTTTAGGTACCCTCCATTAAACATAAATTCACGCTTCCAAGAATGCCATTACGTTCGAGTGTCAAGGTAAATAGAATAGAAAGGTGTGCTGCTGCAAAATGTCATATTCTGGCCCATGGGCTGACTGTGCAACGATCTGAGGTTGTTCTTCACTCATTTCAACTCCAACAGACCCAACAAAAATACCACGCCCGGCAAGTTCCATGATGTGTGCATAGAGAAACCCATGCCTTCTCCTCCATGGGCCGCTTCCGCGCTTTCTTCAAACGACGGTAGTGGAGTTTGAAGGCGCAGTCCTGAACAAGGACTGATCGACGTTCACGATGGCACCAGCTTGTGAAGTGCAAAGGTGGCCTTTCCTTCAGCACTTCTGACCAGCTAAGAAACAACTACAAACAGTCAATTGGGGTTCTGGAGTTGAACGAGTATGGATCCGTGCGCTGGGCTCTCGGACACGCTTTGTTCTCACGATGGCAGCGGATCGGTGAAGGCGGAAAACCCGGTCCTGACAGAGTCGAACCTTGACCAAGGCCCGCTTCTCCCGCTTGGCTTCCACATATTTGAAGTCTACTTCGTAGCCTCAGGCAACAAAGTGCATCCAATTGCCAATATAGTATCCGATAGGGGAATGAGAAGGACAATAGAGCAACAACCCCCAAGCTGGTACAGCTTGTAGAAGTGAGACAGTGAAACATCTTTACTGAGAAAATACACCCTGAGGCCCTTAACAGCCTTAACATCTGCTACGTACTGTAACCGCAAGACACATCAAAACTTGAGAGGCAAGAGTGGCCCTTGACAGCCTTGTTCAAGGCCCCGGCTTTTCAAGTCAGCCTGCGATGAACAGAACCTGAGCGACAACGAGGGTCAGGAATTGCATTGATGAGGTTTCGAAGGTCTCAAAACCTGGTTCCCAGGACACGTCCTTTTAAACAAATGCAAGTGCCAACTCACAAGTAAATGCCCCAATCATCTTTAACATCCAAAACCAGTCTGCCATGGTGAACGCCCGTGTTTCGTCAACAATGACTCTTCGTTCGCTGAACGCTTCAGCCCAGCGGCTTGTGGCCACAGGTGAATTGCCCACGGCCGTCCTGGACCTCCTTCTGCGTTCGCCAGCGGAACCCAACATGGCCTTTCCTGTAGCCCGTCAAGTCACACAGGACCTGAGAGACGAATGACTGTTGGAGCGACTGCGCCTGGATTTTGTTTGCGTTGAGCAACAAGTCACTGATAGCGGCTGATGAGCTCAAAAAAATAATTTGTCTTGTTTGCCAAAGCATGACAGGCTTGCGCCTTCGCAGCACATCACGCACGCCTTCTGAAACTAAGTCCAGCACATACCTTGGAGCAAGGCTTGCAATTAACGCTGGGCATGACCGTCCGAACTGGCTTAATCAAGAAAATATATGAACATCTGGCATTTAATTTGCGCCAACAGTTTTTTGAACGATCAACTGACATGCACGAGCCATTTGACATATGCTGGAAAGTGCTAGGCAAACTGACGAAACGATGCCGTGCTAGGTTCGGCAACAACCTCATTGAACCACCCCTGCCAAAAGTGAACAACTACCAGAGATTTGGCAAATTGAACAAATCTGGTGCTGTCCGACCGCGGATCTATTTCAAAAGTGACCCCACGCCACTGCCAAACCTCTCTTGTGCTACAGACTGCAGACCAGGCACTCTTTGAAGAGCCGGTCATAGTACCTCCGACCAATGGGAAAGCACTTTTCAGCAGCGATTTTCTCTGTGACCCTATCGTCTCACCCGAAACACTTGAACAAGAAAGCTAGGAGAAAGACCCAGCAGTAGTACCGCAAACCGTGGTCCATGATGCTGCACCCCTCCCGTTTAAGGCAACGGGACACGTCAGCACAACAACTGACCCGTCACTGCAGCCCCGTCAACACTCCGTCAACAATGACTCCCCTGTACGGG